AAGGCTACAGAACAGGAACCCACATTAATGTTTCCAAGCCTCCTCCATAATGAGAGGAATTTCAGGAGAGGTGGAACAATACAGGGTGAGACAGTCACAAGGCGTTCACAGATGGTGGCACAACAGAAGGAAAAGCCTAACGATATAAGCAAGATGACTGAAGCATGGGGCTGGCTTTGATATCAAACATGTCACAATGCTCTCCTGTGCCAAGACACAGCCACTTAGGAGAGAGCCTCCCTGATTCCCACAGTGCATCTGTGCCAGCTTCCACTCACTGGCACAAGTTAGGGCAGACACAGGGCTGCTTATGCAGGGACTGGACTCCCATTGGGAAGGGGTGTAGCGAGCCACTGCCTCCCCCCAGCACGCCCCAATGCCACGGTGTGGGAGGGCACTCAGTGCAGGAGCCAGCTGCATCACTTCATGCCAACTCAGGGCTCTCCTGCCCCAGGGGAATTCTCAGCTGGCCGGTTGTTGGTGCAAAACAGCCAGAACAGAAGAGATGATTCTGGGGCGGGGGCTTTGTATTTTGAGGGCGGGGCACGGTACCAATTTTCTCAGGTTCTCGTTTATTCCTAGATTCCAAGGCCAGAAGGGACCACTGTCATGTAATCTGACCTCCTATAACCTCTAGTTAGCCGCTTTCCCTCTTACCTCCCTGGTAGGGTGATCATATTTTCCCAAAGGGAAAACGGGATACCCCTGGGCTGGCCTGAGCTCCTCCCGGCCCTGCATGGGGCTGGCCCAAGCCCTCCCTATCTCCTACCCACGCAGGACTGGGTTGAAGTCCCCCTCCCCCTGGGCCAGCCTCAGCCCCAGACTGCCCGAGCCCTCCAGCCTCCAACCCACCCAGGGCCAGCCTGAGGTCCCCCTCGTAACTGGCACATGGGGCTGGCCTGAGCCCCCTCACCACATGGGGGGCTGGTCCTCTGAGCCACCCTGCTGCCGAGCCCCCTCCGGTCCCCGCGGTCCCCTTTCATCCTGCCAGCGGGGCTGGTAGTCCGAGCCCCCTTGCCACCTGCCCACAGGGCAGCTGAGTCCCCCCCTTCCTCGCTGCACACCGGGCGGGCTGGCTTGCCCAAGCTGCTCTCCCTCCAGTGCAGGGCTAGTGTTGCCACTCACCATGCCCCCCATCCCTCTGGGCCCCGCTAGGGGTCCCACCTCACATCAGTTGGAAAGAGCAAATGGGACAAATGCCCAGTTTTGTCAAAAAAAGTTGGGACGGCTGGGACCGAGCCTAAAAAAGGGACTGTCCTAGCCAAAATGGGACATATGGTCATTCTACTCCCCAGTAATAATGATAATGCCTATTGTCACAATGCTCTCCTGTGCCGAGACACATCCACTTAGGAGAGAGCCTCCTAAAAAAGGAGGAATAATGATTATGCCTATTGCATCTGTGCAAGCCCCAGGCATTGCGGTGCTCCACCGGAGGGAGGGAGTGGAGCTTAGCGAACAGCTGGTGAGACACACAGAGGATCAGACTCTCTCCCTGAGCCGCCTGGGCTCTGCAGGGGGAACATCAGTAAAACCTCCTGAGTGACCCTCACAGGGAGCAGGGCTGCCAAAGAAGCAACATGTTAAGTCATCCAGTGCTGTAGGGCCAGACTTCCAAGCCACAGTGAATATACCCAATGCACACCCCTCCTCCCTGTCCAGCTATCCGTGATCGTGGGACAGATGTACGAACACATGATTACCACTGGAAATCTGGGCTTTATAACGTACTAGTGCATTGTGCAGACTCTGAGCCCATGGCTCTTTTGAATGGCCTGGGTGAGTTTTCCTGTGGTCCAGGGCTGTTCAGTTTTGCTGAGGTCCCGCTCGCTCTCCGAAGGCACGTTCCCTCTGAAAGCCAAGGCCAAGGAAGGGTCAGCCAAACAGCGCTGGGCACAACACCCAGGATCTTCTTACAAACATTTCCCTGAGCTGCGGCTTTGCAAACCTTCCATTTGCAGCATTTGGATTTGGGGAATTAATGTAATGCTCATGAAGAGGATGGATTAATATACCTGCCTCTACCTTGCCAACACCCACAAGCCAATACCAACTATTCCAGCTCATGAATCCAGTACACCCCTTGCCTCCCCAAAAAATCGTACGATTGGCTTAAAAATTGAGAGATTGACAAAAAGTTGTGGGTTCTTTTCATTTGCCAGCTGGCTTTTGCGCCTGTAGTGGTCACATTTTCAAGATTTCCTCCTTGTGCTGAGAAGCTGAAATGCTCAGTGCTAGACATTTTCATTTCAGTAGAGGTAAACTGAGATTCTCAGATGATCTTCTGACTCCAGGAGCTGGGGCTTTAAGAACATCAAATATCACTCGGGTCACACTGAAAGTCACAAGACTGGGCAACACTGTCTTGAAGTAGGTCTAACGAGCTGGCGCTACACAAAGCATTCCTGAATATCGCTGCGGCCTAGGCCCAGTGCTGAGACTCTTAAGCAACAACTGCCCATCATGCAGAGTTGTGCCAAAGGGTGAGGTGGGCTTTCCCAGGTGCATGAACCAGGAGTAAAATGAAATCACCAAACCCAGGGCACTCACATGCAGTCTAGGTCAGCAGGCTGAATCCAACACACAGGCCAGTTTCAGAACATGGTGCAAGCTCAATTCATACCTCCAAAAGGTGCTGCAAATGTTTGCACCAGGCCCAAATTTGGCCACGTTTAGCTCATGAGCTTGCTTATATTGTTGTTAACCATCTTACAACACACAGTTGGGAAACAGGGGGTGTTTGACTGTTCAGGTAAAAAACCAGAAGCTGTTCTACCGTTGATGTCACACCCAATTCTACTGGACCAGTAACACTAAAGAAGGTGAACCTTGGGGAATTGCTCTATTGTTGTTTGAATTTTTACATACACATTCCTCTTACTCAGGGGCTTTTTAGGAACCTTCCAACCAGTGATGAATTATCTGATCATTTTCTCCAGCCAGAAAAATGCAAGAGAAGCAGTTGAGTAATAAAAATGTCTGCCACAAAATATTGCAGCATATATCATTTCTCAGCCAAACTGCCTTTCATTTTTTAAAGTAAAATATTTTAGGCCTGTCTAGTATTTAAATGCAAATACCAACCTGGGGAGGGGGGAATGCAAATGATTTTACAGCTTGGAAAAAATTAAACCTATGCAAATATTTGACTGTGAAGTTGCAGCCCCGCTCTGTTTTTGATGAGTTGCTTTTGAGGAGGGAAGTAGAACTTGGCTGAGAACTTGATGAAGGCACAAAGCTTCAGGGACAGATTCCTTGATATTGATTTTGTTTTTGTAAGGTATGCCAGGGATGGGAGCGGGGCTGATGGGTCAACTAGTTGCTGGAGGAAGAGATCATCCAGTGGAAACCTAGAGAGAAGTTTCCATGCACCAATACAGTCCTATGACTGAGGCAATCTCCCAGGAAACAGAACATATCAAGACCTCTCAGGAGTGTTCAAATAACGGCTTTAATTGTAATATTTTTTCCCGAAGATTTTTAAAAAACATTAGCTGTTAAGTACAATAAGCAATTGCTGTACATACCGAAGTAATGCAACATCCAGACCAAGGCTCCACAGCAGGGCGTGATAGTGGTGTGTGAAAGGCATTTGAACGGCACGTGGATTTTAACGTGTGAAAGGAGGTGGATTTTTAAATTAAAGGAGGAGGGGTAAAAAAATCACGTAGTGATTACGCTGACTCATTCCGAACCATTGCAGTTGTTTGGGCTCAAATGATTCTCAGGGAGGGGAAAGAACAGATGAGGCCAGGGTAGAATGGTGGGTTTCGGCTTCTGTTGAAATGTCCAGCTGGGCGTACAGGACCTGAGGTAGTCAGAAAATCTGGGAAAACAAAACTAGCCAGTAATTTCCCATCTTGTAAGAATCCCTGGATGCTAAAGCATCTGTCTGGTAGATTAAACGCTGCTGTAAGAGCAATACGGCCACCCTGCCTCCCCACTGTCTTCATCTGCAGTAGGTTAGACCCTAATTCTCCAACTAGATCCCTGTGCAAAGCTTCCGTTGAAGCGATTCAGCAAGTTCTGCCCAGGCCTCTGCAGACCCACTGGCAGGATCAGGGCCTTTTAAACAGCTAAAGCCAACAGCTTGGTGAGGAAAGCAACAAGTCTGTGCTTTGAACAGATACTTACAAGCCCTCTGCTGATGCACATGGCGTCATTTGGCAGAGTGAACCCTTTAGGCAGGTCTGCTCTCTGCTTTTGGAATGCACTGAACTTCGGCTTCCATTACATAAGGTATTCCAGCATTTCCACGTAGGGTTCAGGTTGGTGCATGAATAAAACCCAATATTTAAGGTGGTCTGTTCCTTTCAAAAAAAAAAAAAAAAAAAAAAAAGGACCCGGCCTGTGAGCATTACTGTCTGCCAGGTTTTAACCCTGTGCTATAAGAAGTTGCATAAGAAAAACCTTAAAGCCCCTGAGGAGAATATCCATGATATTAAGGTGCTATTCTTCATTAGTGGGAGACTTGTTTCTAAGGGAAATTCTTTCAGGGTGACATTTGGAGGGGAAATTAGAGGCAGAATCTCCATTACACTGTGTCTCCATTCTTTGGAGGAGCGGAGTTCCCAGAAGCCATACGTGTCTCACTTGTCGCTCTACTCTCAGGAGATTCTGGCAGTGCCTGCCCAGATACATAAGTCACAAGAGTACTTCTAAGGTCTGCCTGTCGCAGGGTGCAGGCAGACTGCATCACGCAGTTTTTATTTTAGACACTGGATGAGATGGTCCTGTGATGCAAGCCAGCCAAACGGTTCAGAGCAAACCCACTGGACGGATGGATGACTGACGCCAGCTGTTGCCTCCTATGCCTGGTAGGAACTTGACAATGGAGAAAAAAAAGAATTGTGCCATTATCTCCTGACAACCTGTGATCATGGAACAGTCGATACAAGACCATGATGCTTCTAGCAAGGTCACACCAACCTCTTGCTCGTCGATATAAAGCTCAAGGAATAAAAATAGACTTCCAATCTCAGTGATCAACCCAGCAGAAACAGCTTTAATAGGGAACGTTTTCATCAGTTTTCCATTGCACGGGGCATTGTTATTGTGTTATGTGATTTCACACTCAAAATAAACATCTTCGTTCTGTGCAAAAATATGTTTTCCCCTGTGTGAAATATTTCAAAGGTGGAGGGAGAGAGGATCATTCAAAAGGCTGTTAAAAAAGGTAGCTGATGTCGCACGTGAAGGAACCACAGAAGGGGTAAGATTTCAGCTCAGTGGAACCATTTCTCTGACCGAGGATTATTTACATGGCAGACTGGAGCTCAGTAGCCTTGAGGGGCCTGATCCAAAGCTCAGGGAAGTCACTGGCAGTCTCACCACCAACTTGAATAGGCTTTGGATCAGACCCTAAACTTTAAGGGGCTGACTGAAATGGCACCTAAGTCAACGTAATAACTCCCAGACTCCAATGAACTTTGGATCAGATCCTAACTTAGTAAAGACATTTTTTTAAATGATGTCTAATACAGCTCTTCTCTCCTGACCGCTTCTGGAGCATGCAGGTCCCCAGCAGAGATCACCAAGATGCTCTTATTGCAGTACAGAGCAGTCAGTAGAGAGAAAAGTTACCTTCAAGCAGACTGGCACCTTTGTAGTTAATGTCCCTAAAAAAGCAAAAGGCGGAAGAAGAAGGGGAGGGAACGCCACTGAACCAGAAATCTTTTCAGCTCCTTCCAGAATGCTCATTGTAGCAGCAGGCAGGAGGGATGCCTGAGTGCTAAAGGCAGCACTGACTCTTCAAGTTAAGAACTTAAGTGGTACATTTGAAAACTAGGTATTGTGTATTTCCAGATCTAGACATTAGAAAAAGTATATATATAAAAAAACCAGATCATGGAGAGCTACTGGGAAAAAAGTACAACTGCTTTTCTTTGTAACATCTTCTCAGGGCTGTATGAGGTTCAGAGTTACTGCAATGGTGAATATAAAACAGTGATTCCAGAGTCTCACACTATAGAAAACCTCGTAAGGGGTGAGGGTGGTGGTGGGGTGGGGGGGGTTGAGGGAATGGAAAGGAGAGATTCACAATGTGCTTTGTTTTAAATACATATTTACATGATTCATGGTCAATTTCAGAAGTCATCATTTAAAAAAGTTCCTACACAACATAAAAATGCAACAACTCTCCCATCAAAGTGGTTTCAACTTTTGCTGCTCATTAAAAAATTAGATATTTATTTGCAAATGTCTTAAAAAAAATGTGTTGGGTTCTCCCCCACCCACTGTTAAACTTTACAAATAGAAAGTTGTGTAACTGGTATCAACCCCTCAGCAGAGAAAACCCAGCTCTTCTGGACTCTTTCTACATGAGGGAGAACACTCAAAAGAAGTCCCGCTTCACTGTGCAATTCCAGTCCCAGAGCAAACGTTCAAACTTTGGCCTTTTGTCAGCTCCTGCCTGTTTTTTATCCTCTGCTAAAACCAGGAAGAGTTACACACGTCAGGAGTCCCCGCCATCAGATAGCAAAATCTTCATGGTCTGGAGGGCTAAAGGCGGCTGCACGGAGTATGTCCAAGGAATTGACTAGGATCAGGGTTCCTGTTAGATGTTTCCAGCGCTTGGTGATGGGGTTCTTCATCTTATCCAGCCCTATGTGCAGCTCCTGGATGACATCTCGGTAGCTATCTCCAATCTGATTGCTCCAGGTTAGCAGAAAGTCGTAGGCTGGTTTCCACATGGCCTGTGTTCCATGCCGGAGAGGCAAAAAGAGAAAACAAACAAACAGAATTGAGAGATTTTGAATGCAGTTATTTCATGTATATAATTCTACATTTGTAAGTTCAACTGTCATGATAGAGATTGTATTGCAGTACGTGTATGAGGTAAATTCTTTTGTTTTTATAGCACAAATATTTGTAATCAAAAATAAAACAATGTAAAACTTTAGAGCCTACAAAAGTCCACTCAGTCCTACTTCTTGTTCAGTCAGTCACTCAGACAAACAAGTTTGTTTACATTTGGAGGAGATAATGCTGCCCACTTCGTGTTTACAATGTCACCAAAAAGTGAGAACAGGTGTTCGCATGGCACTGTTGTAGCCGGCATCATAAGATATTTACATGCCAGATTTGCTAAAGATTCATATGTCCCTTCATACTTCAACCACCATTCTAGAGGGCATGCATCCATGCTAATAAGGGGTTCTGCTAGATAACGATCCAAACAGTGCAGACTGAGGCATGTTCTCTTTCATCATCTGGTTCGTGTTCTGTAGTTTCAGAACTGGAGTGCTGCTCTTTTAAGACTTCTGAAAGCATGCTCCACACCTCGTCCCTCTCAGATTTTGGAAGGCACTTCTGATTCTTAAACCTTAGGTCAAGCACTGTAGCTATCTTTAGAAATCTCACCTTGGTACCTTCTTTGCCTTTTGTGAAATCTGCAGTGAAAGTGTTCTTAAAATGAAGATGTGCGGAGTCATCATCTGAGACTGCTATAACAGGAAATATATGGCAGAATGCGAGTAAAACAGAGCAGGGGACATACAATTCTCCCCCAAGGAGTTCAGTCACAAATTTAATTAACACATTATTTTTGTAATGAGCATCATCAGCATGGAAGCATGTCCTCTGGAATGGTGGCCAAAGCATGAAGGGACGTATGAATGTTTAGCATATCTGGCACATAAATATCTTGCAATGCTAGCTACAAAAGTGCCATGTGAACACCTGTTCTCACTTTCAAGTGACATTGTAAATAAGAAGCAGGCAGCATTATGTCCCGTAAATGTAAACAAACTTGTTTGTCTGAGCGATTGGCTGAACAAGAAGTAGGACTGAGTGGACTTGTAGGCTGTAAAGTTTTGCATTGTTTTGTTTTTGAGTGCAGTTATGTAACAAAAAAAAAATCTACATTTGTAAGTTGCACTTTCACGACAAAGAGATTGCACTATGTATGAGATGAACTGAAAAATACTATTTCTTTTATCATTTTTACAGTGCAAATATTTGTAATAATAATAATATAAAGCGAGCACTGTATACTTTGTATTCTATTGTTTAACAGTGCGATTAAAATGGCGATCAATTTTTTTGAGTTAATCGCATGAGTTAACTGTGATTAATCGACAGCCCTAGTTTAAATGCCATCAACTTCAGTGAGGCTCAAGCATGTGCTTTGCTGAATCAGGTCCAGATTCGGGCTGTTCGCCCATCAGCTCCTGATGCTTCATAGCAAGGCGACCCTGTTGCCACAACCCTGTAGCATGCCCAGCTACGCTGTGCAAAGCTGGACCCATGGGGAAGAGAACGACTGCTGGAGCCCTGCAGTGGTCAGATCTCAGCCCAGAGCACTGGTCCCTATTTCCCCTAACAGAACATGAACAATGAACCCCACAAGAGCCACTGGTTTGGGGAAAAACCTCAACTCAAGCCAGGGGGCAGTATCAGAGGGTGGGACAAACAGTTATTCAAACTGAAAGGGCCCCAGGATTTCCGTCAGTCATTGAGAGGTGCTACTTATTTTTAAAGGAACAGCAGAGAGATGATTGAAACTGACCAGTGTCCAGCCCACCCCAAACCAAAACCACCCCCATGAGATGTGAGTACCGAGCCTACACTGGCAGGCTCATTGCTCCACTCCCATAGAGGTAGGTGTGTGTGCGGGGGGGGGAAGAGTGTCAATCACGAGCCGTCAGCAGGAACACACTGATTTGTCCCCCTTTCAGAAAGGGAAAATTGGACAATTGTGAAAATGATGAAACACTCGCTCCCCCTGCAGGCAGCTTCTCAAACTCAAAGATCAATGGAGCTTCTCCTCTAGGGGCCACTTTCAGGCACTCACATCTCCCGATGGGAAGGAACCTTGCTCTGGCTTGCCATCGCCAAAGAAGCGCTCTTATTTGCTGACACCTCAGCCAAAAAACCCAAAAGGCAGCCGAAATCAGCCCTCAAGTGTTTGCTTCCAGACCATTGCACAATGCGTCACGCTTTAAGGGATTGTCAAATCTAGTCTCACCTCACTGTCTACCGCTCCATTCCTGTCTCGGTGGGGGGCTTCGTAGGAGTCCATCTGTTGTTTGGAGACCTTGGCTAGCTTCTCTGCCAGCTCCCTCCAGCGCTGAGCCACTTCCACGGCTGTGGTCAGGAGCACAAAGTCCTGAATGAGCCTCACGACCAGCCCCTGGCAGTCCATTTTCAGCAAGGCCTGAGAGAAGACAGAGCAAACCAAGCAAAGGTCAGGTACAGTCCCAGGGTCTGTCTAGTCATCTTCTAGCAGCCACCAACAGTGTTCTCCTGCCACTCTGGCCCAGCAACAGCTGAGAACAGTGACAACTCATTACTACAATGACAGCAGCACTTCATTCCTTGCTCTCAAACACGGAGGTGATAAAGCCTGTGAGAGAAGGACGCCAAGGCCCTCCCTACCAAAATCCAACTCAACCTCCCCTTCTCTGAAACCCAGTAGCAAGGCAAGTCTTGCGTTCCCCTTTCTGGCTTCATGGCTGGTTAAACAACGTCGTCTATGTGCACAGGGAAATCTCTTGAATCAATCATTAACTCCCCTCCCCCATACGACAGGTGGTGAAATACGGTCACTGGACCTGCAGGAAGAATTCTCTCATTAAGTGGATAAAGCACTCTGCCTTGATGTTAGAGGTAGGGCTGGGTGTTCTAGCCAGATCTTCTAGGCAAACGCACTAAATAATTAGCTCCATGATGCAGCTTAAGAACTGAGAAAAATAGCAGCATGTAATAAAGATAATTAACTCAATATGGTCAAAATACGTTAGGGTATAGTGACCAGAGAAGAACCAACATGGCTTTCAATACAGAGAAAAAGAGGATGCAAAGAATAAATGAACCCAGGTACTTGTTAATAACCAGAACATCTGCCAGCCCCGAGAAGGCGAGGCCTAGATCTGATGCCAGTGCCACCCAGCTGCCTGGGCAGGTCAGAGATTTAGGTGGTGTGAAGGAAGCAGTCATTCTGCTGAGGACTCTGGCTCACGTTACGTGACTTTCGTCCTGCACACTCCAACTTTCAGTTCATTAGTTTCTAAACTCTTAAAAGAGGAGAGTTTATTGATTTAAAAGCTGCGATTTCTGCAAACCCTTCCCTGTGGTCGCTTCAACTAGGGAACCTGGAGTGGGAAGTTTTCTGCCTCTCCTACCTAGCCAATTCTTTGACCAGTAAATGACTGACATTGAATGAATCCAGAATTCCAGTGAAATTAAAGACTCACAACACCATGTGACCACAGCCTGGTTTTGCATAAGACTGAGCAAAAAGGGATGCAACCTGCAAAAACAGACCTGCAAGTGCCAGGTAGGACTCTTACCCATGACTTTCAACTGGCCTAGGAAATTAAGGGCTTAAACAGTAATTAACAACATAGAATCACAGAATTGAGGTCACTTCCAGTCCTACGAGAGGTCATCTAGTCGAGTCCCCTGCACTCATGGCAGGATTAAGTATTATCAGACCATCCCTGACAGGTGTTTGTCTAACCTGCTCTTAACAATCTCCAATGATGGAGATTCCACAACCTCCCTAGGCAATTTATTCCAGTGCTTAACCAGTCTGATAGTTAGGAAGTTTTTCCTAATGTCCAACCTAAACCGCCCTTGCTGCAATTTAAGCCCACTGCTTCTTGTCCTATCCTCAGCGGTTGAGAACAATTTACCTCCCTCCTCCTTCTAACAAACTTTTACATACTTGAAAACTGTTATCATGTCTCCTCTCAGTCTTCTCTTCTCCAGACTAAAACAAACCCAATTTTTTCAGTCTTCCCTCATAGGTCATGTTTTCTAGACCTTTAATCATTTCTGTTGCTCTTCTCTGGACTTTCTCCAATTTGTCCACATCTTTCCTGAAGTGGGGTGCCCAGAACTGGACACAATACTCCAGTTGAGGCCTAATCAGAACAGAGTAGAGCAGAAGAATTACTGCTCGTGTTTTGCTTACAACGCTCCTGCTAATACATCCCAGAATGATGTTTATTTTTTTGCAACAGCATTACACTATTGACTCATATTTAGCTTGTGATCCACTATGACCCCCAGATCCCTTTCTGCAGTACTCCTTCCTAGGCAGTCATTTCCCATTTTGTATGTGTACAACTGATTGTTCCTTCCTAACTGGAGTACTTTGCATTTGTCCTTATTGAACATAGAAATGCCAGCCTGAATCAAACCTATGCTCCATCTAGTCCAGCATGCTGGCTGCTAAACTGGCCAGTACCAGATGTTTCAGAGATTACGCAATAACCCATTCATGGACAATTACCTACCTATGGGGAAAATTTCATCTTCGCTTCAGGCAGTTAGTGACTGATTTGTGCTCTGAAGTATGAGAATTTATATCCCTTATTTACACAGGATTTAAAAAACAATTAACGGTAGATGAGAACATCCACCAGTGTCTAATCATTCTTTATCTCCTAAGCCCTTGGCCTCAGGGACATCTTGTGGCAATGAGTTCCACTGGTTGTGTAAACATTCATTTCCTTTGCTCAGTTTTAAAGTTTGTTGCCTTTCAGATTCATTGGGTACCCTCTGTTCTTGAGAGAGAAAAGGTAAGTGTCTCGAGACAGGCCGAGTGAAGGCTGTGATTCCAGAGTTACCCAACGACATGCAGAACATGTCAAAGAACTTTAACAGGGATCTCAGCTCAACATTACTGTGAATCCAAACAATACAACAATCCTGGGAATGCGCACAGACTGAAAAGGAGGCGAAGTGGATAAAATCCCCCAGCAGCATTTTAATTTTAAACATGCTTGTATGTGAATGTGCTACAAGCGATAAAATACTTCCTCAAATTGCCATTCAACCCCCATAACACCATCCCGAGGAGGAAATCATACTGCCGACACCATAGAGAACAGCACCCTAGGAGAGAGAAAAGCAATGTCTAGTTCCTAGGCTTTAAACTACCAAATCTCTCAGGACGAAGTCCCCAGAGGCCCACATATTTATCACCTAAGAGAGTCTATCCTGCTCCCCTGATAATCTCCCCTCCTGCCTGCCTTTTGAAATGAACCCTCTAGAAAGCAGCTACGGAGCACTTGCATTGTCTTGCTCTCTGGTAAGCAGAGACCGAGGGAAGGAGGACTGCAATCAAGTTATGGCTGTGGAATTACGTTAGCTCTTCTAACCACAGCTCTCACTGTATTCCCGTATCAACAACGGAAGTAATAAACTCTCATGTTAAGCAAACAAGGTAAGAGATTAAGGGGTATAAAACTTTATAAGTGTTATAAACTGCTCAGTTAGGAGAGCGATGAGCCACAGAAATATACGGGCGTATCCTGCAGTGATGGGCCGAACTCTGGAGTGACACTGTTGTATCAAGCCAATTGGGTCAGTGCCATCATTTCCCGAGGAATATTTAAGACCGTCCTGACGGGGACTGGAACCAGCGTTTTCGCCTCCCTTCCCTCTCCTGGAAACTGCCGAACAACGGTTCAAGCGCAAAGTCAGTACACTGAACAAGTGTGAACTGTAGTATCGTTAACTATCAAACATGCCTACGCTCTCAGCTGTGAAAGCGCTCTCTGCATAATCACCTCTGTGCAGCGAACCCTGGATTGGTCCTCTCAGGCAGCAAACACGGGACCTCGGCATCTGAAGCAAGAGTGCCCTAGTTCAAGCAGCAGCTGCTGCAAGGAGAACGCCCCTCTTGCAGCCCACCCCTTCCTCAGGCACACTGTGCCTGTCACAGAGCTAGGGGGCGCACTGAGAGCTTGGGGCGCGTGGTGTGTGTGTGGAGTGGGGGGCGGGCTCTCTTTAGAGATGTCCCCAGAGTCCCTTGCAGCAGAGGCAGCCCAGCTGCTTAGCCCTTTCAGGCTCAGCAATCCCACCATTTCAGGGCCCAACGGCCGGATCATTACCAGGGGCTCCGACTCTCCGGCTCCTCAATGCTACAAATCAGCTAGGAAGGAAGGAAGCCTGGCTTTGCAGTGGCAAGGCTGAGTCACTAATTGCACTTGAACACTAGCATTTTGCTGTGTTTCCTAGACAATCTGAGTTAATTACATATGTACAAACACAGAAACTACCCAGTACTTAGCAAACATTGCAGCAAGCCACTCTGATCTCTTCTCCAAGCAAGCCATGGCCGGGATGTTCAGGAGAAAAGATGCCTTGAGGAGGCAAAAGGCTACTGCCTCTTTATTCTTTAATCATTTGAATGAATAGTTAAATCTAATGGCAAGCCACAAGCAGTGCGGGTTAAATAAAGGAGACACAGAGACTCTGGGAATTACCCAAAAACTCATTTACAGAGAAGTCATCATAAAGCCGTATTCATGAATAACCAAATTCATGAAATATTGAAAGAAACAGTCCCCTCTTTTTACTATGCCATCTTATCTGTAAGCAGTCAAAATAGAATTGATTTATGTCTCTAAAAGTCAGGCTGGGAAAATGCTGTCTGGTTTGGCACAGGGACCAGTTATATATTGTACACGTTCACCCCAGTGTGCACACCCATGGGTGCTTACAGATCAATGAATGAAAATTAGTAAATGATTCTGTTACAGACAGCCACAATTACAATACTTGTTTTAAGGCGCCTGCGAAACTGCTTGCAACTGCAGATCTTAAAACAGTTTTTAAATAAGAGGCGTATTACAATCAGGGTTTTGTGCGTTTGAGAGTCCACAGAATTCACGGAAGGACCCCCCCTTTTTTGCAGGATCATGCCACAGAATCTCAGCTTTTCTGGCTGTTTCGAGCCTTCCACTTTTCCAGCTGAACTAAGAGTAAACGGATGCCACCAAGTCTTAGGAGCAACCCGAAGCAACATGTATCTGAGAGGTGTGAACAGCCCCAATTCATCTCAGTGGATTAACTCTGAAACCTACAGATGATTGGAATATCCATGTCGCTCATGTCACCTCTGATCATTTTAGCAGAAACACCCAGCTCAGGTACTTATCCCCCAGCCCTAGACTGCCTCTCATGGTGCTAAAACCCCAGCTGTCCCTTACCCAGGGGCAGTTTCACCCTCCCACTACAGCTAGGATGTTGCTATGAGTTGTAGATACAAAAAGGCACCAAAAGTGGAAAGTGTGGGGACAGAGTAAAATAGATAAAAAGTCAGCACAAATGTGCTGTTGTACTGAGGGTGCTATTCATGTGCCCCTGATGCAAACATGGCTGAAAGCGAAGCCAGACCACTGCAGGAAAGTAAAGCCAACC